CCATTCCCTTTTTAAATACTAGTTCAAGTGTATTAAACTCAAGGGATGAAGTGCATCAGCATGGATATAGTGGAAGTTTTGTGGAAACGATCAATAATTCTTTCGTTAAAGATTATTTGATTGGTATTTGCACATAAAAAATACAATTGCTATATATTAATTATTTAATTATGTTTCATATTTTAATAGATTTGTTAATAAATTCCAATCAGCAAATGCAAAATAACCGTGATGATCACAATCGGACGAGAGCAATGAAGGAATTTTATATATTTTTGTGGTATATGGCAAATATGAATACTTTATGAATACTTTTTTTGGTATTTGTTTTGGCATACCAAGAGCTTCTGTATGGAGAATAATTAAAAGAACTAGTGTTTAGCGTATATCAATTAGACACTAATTTATAAAATCCGCACTTGCTAATAATGCAAAAGTGGAAACTTCGAAAAAATTCCCGTTCGTAATTGGTTGCATAATAAAAATAAAATGTAAAAATAAATGCACCACACCATAGCAAATAGGCTTATTTCAAAAGAAAGCATGACTATGGCTTAATCTTGCAGGCAGTTTGTGATGAAAATGGTTTTTTAATAAACGTGTATGTTGGAGAGTTTGGTTCCTTATGTATTGTTCTGTTTTAATTAAATAAATGTATTCAACTTCATTTATATATATTCATTTCAAATTGATTTTAATAAATTATCAAACTACACTTTTTCAATAATAATGAAACGTAAATAATCGCATTGCCAACCTCATTTGCATTAAAATACGTTCCACTTTTATCTTTTACATACATTCCACATTGAACCAGAAAGTGAACCAGATCAATTGCTGGTTCACTCCATTGTTTTTGTTTTGCATGTAAAATTGAGCGGATCATGCTTGCTGAAACGCAGCTAATAGCTGCGTTTCAGCAAACATGATCCGCTCAACGATCTGAATCATCTTTGCTGAAACGATACGGATCACGTTTGAAAATAATTGGCAACGCATGAAATATGCCAGTTGGGTTTGTGTACAAAATTTTTTGATTTTTGTGAATAATTTTGGCACTAAAAAAATAAGTAAAAACATTTTGAATACAAAAAATCTAAAAAATAGAAAAAAATTAAAACTGTTGAGCTGTGTGAAGTATTAAATGTAAGTTTTTATTTAGTATTTACTTTAAAACTTAAATTTAATTCTATAGTAAATAAATGAAAATTGCAGATTTTATTAGAATCATCAAGCGAAACTGACTCTTCCATTCCCTTTTTAAATACTAGTTCAAGTGTATTAAACTCAAGGGATGAAGTGCATCAGCATGGATATATTGGAAGTTTTGTGGAAACGATCAATAATTCTTTCGTTAAAGATTATTTGATTGGTATTTGCACATAAAAAATACAATTGCTATATATTAATTATCAGGCCTATTCTGAATACTCCCAGCGAAAAAACTCCCTATTCCCACGCTGTTCCCGAACACACAGCTCCCTTATTCTGAATCGCTAGGGAGACAGCAGTTTCGTGAACAACAACAATTGTGCAAAATTAGGAAAAAACTCCCATTCCCATGCGATTCAGAATAGGGGAATTGGGAACAGGGAACATACCAAATTTATTCAGAATAGGGGAATTGGGAACAGGGAACAAACTCCCATTCCCTTGCGATTCAAAATAGGCCTGTATGTTTCATATTTTAATAGATTTGTTAATAAATTCCAATCAGCAAATGCAAAATAACCGTGATGATCACAATCGGACGAGAGCAATGAAGGAATTTTATATATTTTTGTGGTATATGGCAAATATGAATACTTTTTGCGAATTTGGTACTTGTTTTGGCATACCAAGAGCTTCTGTATGGAGAATAATTAAAAGAACTAGTGTTTAGCGTATATCAATTGGACACTAATTTATAAAATACGTACTTGCTAATAATGCAAAAGTGGAAGATTCGAAAAAATTCCCGTTCATAATTGGTTGCATAGACAATACATATCTTAAAATAAATACACCACACCATAGCAAATAGGCTTATTTCAAAAGAAAGCATGACTAGAGCTTAATCTTGCAGATAGTTTGCGATGAAAATGGTTTTTTTATAAACGTTTATGTTGGAGAGCCTGGATCCTTATGTATTGTTCTGTTTTAATTAAATAAATGTATTCAACTTAATTTATATATATTCATTTCAAATTAATTGATTTTAATAAATTATCAAACAACACTTTTTCAATAATAATAAAACGTAAATAAATAAGGTAATAATTTTAATTATAGTAATAGTTAAAACATTATTTTAAACAAAGAAATAAATAATAACGACATATTAAATAAATAAGTACATAAAATAAATAATAAATAAATAAAATCAATAATAAATAAATATAAATGTAGATTTGTTTATAATTTTACTGCACCGTTGCATCGCATTGCCAACCTCATTTGCATTAAAATACGTTCCACTTTTATCTTTTACACACATTCCACATTGAACCAGAAAGTGAACCAGATCAATTGCTGGTTCACCCCATTGTTTTTGTTTTGTATGTAAAATTGAGCGGATCATGTTTGCTGAAACACAGCTATTGTTTCATTTTCACAAAATCACGCTAAAAGGATGGGAAGTGAAACCATTACAAAACACGGCATAATATATAAAGTACTCATACGACACTTATCTTTTTTGACATTTTTGAAGCTTTAAGGTATGTTACATTTTATTACGAATAACGTAAAAATAGTTCAATTAAGTACTCAATTTATTGTATAAATAGGGTTATCTTAAGTGCCTGACCTGTTGTCAGTTTTAATTTTTGATTTGTCAAAATGACAAAATGATAATGATTTGTCAAAACAAAATAAACATCGGAAATCATCGTTTAGTTAATCGAAGATTCTTAAGCACTGGTACAATACGACATTCATTATTTTTTCATTCGTTTGGTCAACCAACGATATCTATAAAATATATATAAGATATATAATGTCTTTTTATTTTGTTTTAAAAGGTAAACTCAAAGATATTTCATAAATTAAACTAATTATATAATAATTTAAAGAGCCTTTAATTTAGAATTGGTACATAATTGCATAAAGAGAAAAATGGTGGACTTTATTATTGAATATAGTGTACATGTACAGAAAAAAGTAGGATTTTAAGATATTTCATATTTTAATTATATACTTTAATTATATAATGAAATTTGAATTCAAATTTTAATTGAGCGTATTATTATTGATTAATATATTAATTTTAACTAAAAATAAATTTAAGTTTATTTATTTGTTGTATTATATTATGTATTATACGGCGTTTACATTGGCCGAAAATGGCTCATTTTGGTCAAAAATCGAAAATGAGTATCGAATGGCTCATTCTTGC